CGCCTCTCCTTCACGCTTCCTGATGGTGGCGGTTCCAGTAGGTTTGAAGCAGTTTCACGGACTTATATTTCAACACAATTAACAGTTTTAAATTTGAGGAAAAACTTGTAAGGAGTGAAAAATATTGTCTTACTAACAAACTTCAAAATTTTTAACGTGTACTAATTTTCGGCATAAGTGTTAGGGGATCAGCCTTGCGACCGTAGAGGATGAGAAAAAGTGGGAAATTGTGCGAAGTTGAGTCTCGAACTGTTGTCCACAGTGGTGAGATTTCAGGTTCTCACGGCGACGAATATGAAGACAACTGTTTTCTAGATGTTGCACCGTGTACTCTGGGGTAGATATTTACTGACGTATCATCTTCATGATGGAGGTTCCTCTGAAACGTTTGCCAATATTTACCAGACTGCACGGTGATATATCCAATCATACAGCCATCTTCAATAATCCAGAAGTTTGCGTAAGAAATTAAATGTTACGTAAACAATTTATATGATGGAATTTTAGGAATTAGTATTAATAGAAATAAAAGTATATATTGGTATTCTGGGCTGTTGCGTTTTGTGTAGTTTTGGCTGTAACCCGGCATTTCAGGGAAATATACATCCTCCATCCTCGGGGCTGAAGAGGAGATGATGCCATACTGTTAAAATACTATATGACCAAAACCCAAAAGACCAAGTTTTCTGCACTAGAGTTACACGATTGATTTAATGTACATCCGCCCTACATTTATCTTCGAATTTGATATGAAGGAATAGCCAATCGATACGGATCCCGTATTGTGTTCACACAAAGTGTATATTTATAGATGCGCTCACTAAATTCCAGATTATATGAGAATCGTGTGCTGTCTTACCTGTTGATTTCGATTCACCGCACTCGCTGTTTGTCGTTCAGATACAGACAGACGGGCAGGGTTGCTGGTACACAGTGGTTTGTCTAGCCATTGGAAGGATAACTTTCTCGGTTTTACACGTGGCTTAGCGGGATGCGGTGACAGTGGTGCTACACAATTTTCTTCTCGCTGTATCAGCGTTGACTTTTGCTACGCTCCAATACGGCTAATGAATAGTTTTTTTAAACAGCCATTGCTACGCCTACTTTAGTGTTTACTCTTGAGTGCCATTTCATTTTTGAGAGTTTATTGCTATATTTATACCTCTATTTTTACTTGTTCGTTCATTTATTTAGTATATTCTTGTTAATTATTTACTTAATATCAAGTATGTGCGTGTTAATTTACTTAGTGCGTATGTGGTCTAGTTGACTGCACTTTTAGAATCTCCTTATTTCCAGCATATATGTGTTTTAAAAATCATTTAACGTCACAGCATATAGTCTGAATGCCTTGCAACTCTGTGGTTTGTATTGATACGTATCTGCGTACACACGTGTTGCAAGCATACATAAGTAACTGTCCCAGATAACCACTGCCTCACACCTCAGTAAGTCTCCACTCCTTTGGTGACAGAAGGGCGTGTTCCACCTCCTGAAGTCTGGACTACTTGTTAAGAACTGAAATGAGCAGCTCAGATCATTCTGTACTGCAGGTCCAGAATTCGTATATTTTTGATATCGACGCTGCTTTATTACAGTCTAAAATCCAACTCTATTCGTTCAGAAACTGTTCTTACAATGAATTTGCATTTTACATAAAATACAAATCCCATTAATGCCATTATTTAATTTCTGGCTCCAGTAGTGTGAGTTCAACCATGGATCTGTATCTGTAACTTAACAGGACTGATTATTTGCCATTTATCTTTCTGTTGTTGAAAAACAGGATTTATTTAATTAGTTGTTGGTTTTGATAACGCAAATACTTTTTATTAGAAATGTAATGAAAGTTAACGCAGCCCAGTAGTATATAATAATCATCCTGTATTTAAATATTGCATCGTTTGAATTTCTATACGAGATAGCCACCGAAACGTAAATGAAGAAGATCGTTGAAGTACAAGTTCATTGTATTTGGAAAGTATGTTCTGTACGCATTTAATGATGCGAGGGATAAATATAGGATAGCTTATTTTTTCCGCCACAGGTTTTCATCAGCAATGCCGTCGTATGTAAAGTAGTACGGGACGTTTTTATAAAACACGTAGGCGTATGGTACAAAGTGGAATGCACTCGGGACGTTTTTATAAAACACGTAGGCGTGTGGCACAAAGTGGAATGCACTTTTCTACTCTTGTTCCGAGTAATAGGGCTCGTGTTAGCCCTCAAGCCATCTCCAGTGTTCCAACGGTTGGAACAGGTGTGACGGTTCTCGGGCGCTCATGTCTTGTGATAAGAGCATTATATCGATATTATCATTTCAGGGATGAGCAAAAGATGGCAGGAAATCTAAAGCGCGATTCATGTAACTCTCTCGGCGAGGTAGTACTAGATCTGAACGTCATGAAACTGCAGAGTAATTGGCACGTATGACGGCGATGGTAATGGCCAGTCACTTTAAGAGTGCAAGCCATTCTGCCCTTTCTGCTCTGGATACCGATCTTGGCTTCTCACAGCTTTCTCTCCTCGTTTAATATAGCTTCCTCTAATAAGGAATTTAATGCATAGGAGCCCATGAATTGTACTATCGTCTGCTGCGTGGACATTTGGTGCGATTTCCAAATTTGACTCGCATTTGTGTTCCTTCACCTGAGGCTAGATAAGTGATTTGTGGTTGTATGTTTTCTCGTCGCAGTCTGGGAGAAAAAATCACAATTTTATTTGAATTCGTATTTAGTCCTCTGTTACGAAGTAGGCCACCCTGTCAAGTGTTGGAATTGTAGTGTTAACCCCTTCCACGCTACCACTGAGATGTCTTGTTCAGAAACAAAGGCCTTTGTTCAGAATGTATACCCGTTCGTCACTGGTTATTGCTTTGTAATGTGCAGTGGAAGGTTTCTTAGCGTCAAAGAAAACTCCGCATACACTGTGTTCAAATGTAGCTCTTCTTGAGTCTGTTGGTCTTGTAATAGTCATTCCATGCCGACTTATTATGTTGCGAAGAAAAAAGACAAATGAGAATGCTTGACCCACTTCTGGGCAATCCTTGGATGAACGCAGCTAATATCAAATGTCGTAAGCCTCCGATAGGCCCTGTTTGGCCTGATGACATTTCGTTCAAGTCGTCTAGCTATTGTTGCTTAAGTCTAAGAATAATTAAACTTCTTATCCACTTATTTATATGCAGTTATGATAATTTATGTTGTACTATGTAGTTTTAATTGCTTCCGTAACTTGGATTTTCTCTCTCTGCATCTGTGGTTATCCTTTGCAACATCATCGTGTTGAAATGTTCGGACAGTTCAGTTTCTGTCCGCCATGTCATGGGTGAGAGTTTACGAAACGTCTTCAGAAACTGGTTCTCATGACCAGTTTGTTGCATGGAAACATATAAATGCCTGTCTTTTCATAGACCTTTTACTAATTCGAATTACAGAACGTAGCGGCCGCTCACCTCCATGCACATTCCAGGATACTGTCTTAAATTAGACCTGTACTAATTCTTTTGATGTCCTCTTCCAAATCAGTTGTCAGTAATCATCCTGCCTGTACTAATTCTTTTGATGTCCTCTTGCAATTCAGTTGTCAGTAATCATCCTATTGTCGGCATCGTATAGCCCAAGCTCTGAGAGCATCGTTAAATAAACCACAACGAAATAAATAAATATCCTCAATCATTTGGCCTGTAGTGTGAATTTGCTTGGCATTGTGTTGGCAAGTGAAATGTAAATAGGCCTGTAAATAAAGGCAGTGCTTGATTTACGGTTTTGGATTTAGATTTTATTCTAAGCAGCAGGTAGACGTTTAAATATCCCAGAGTCAGTACTTACCCGATAGCCTAATAACTTGGAGGGCTGTTCTGTACCTTATGTGCCTACAATGTCGAGGTTCCTGTTTTAAGCGTGCATCTTGCAGGCAGACTTATGCTTATTTATTTATTCATTGCATGAAACAGAAGTAAGAGCATTTAGCTGTGTAGGAACACTTGGTCTAAGTGTGGAGCAACGATTTTTCAGACTGTGTTCATTCCGGACTAAGTTACTGGACCCTGTTTCAGTTGTTTGGTTCCGTGCCAGCAAGAAGAAATCTTAATGCATTGTGTCGCGATCAGGGTGGGTTTCTAGTAACATACCAACTCCCATTAATTGCGACACAGCTGAGTGGATAAAAGGATAAAGAAGTACTTGGAGTGCGAAGTGTGATTGTCAAGATATCGGTTAATGTTGATCCTGCTTTTGGGTGTTTGCACAGTGGGCTGTGTTGCCGACGTTTTGGAGGAACAACTTAAGGCTTTTGACATTTCGAGTCTGTGATTCACAAAATGTGGTGTTAAATGAATCTCATATTCCAGTTTGTCCAAGTGAACACAGAATTTAATTTAGTCATTAAATTCAGCTTCCAGCACAAAGCTACATTAAATTATAAACGCGACTAAAGGACGATGAGTTTGACACTGAAAATATAAGACAAACTATCTAATGAAACAAGTGTGTGGACAAAGAGAATTGTGGAAGCAGTAGGATGTTTGATTATGGCAGATACGTTTTATTGCACTCATTTATTAGAGTATGTACCTGTTGGGGACTGTAGTAGTAGTAGGAGGAGGAGGAGGAGGCTGGAGGCTGGAGGCTGGTACAGTTGCAAGACTTCAATCTTGCAAGGGTAGGGAGACACACCCAATACTACGAACTGAATGTCGTGAAGCTGAATCTCTTTCCATTTATTAGGTCTGCCTAATGGATTTGTGACGTTTCACTCGACTTTGCCACAGAGTACCGGAATAGTCGGATTAGAAAGTGAAGAAATTTGAGTAGTGGAGAATATTCGGATTTAAGACTGCAAAACTAGCAAGGGAATGGAGAAAGTTACGTCAGAGGACTTTATAATACAGCAGCAGTTCAGTTACATCACTTGCCCGATACTTTCATGCAGACCTGCGAGTGTGCGATTGACGTGGTTGATTAAGAAGTACCCGGCTGTTAGCTGCATGTTATTCATGCGCAATTGTCGTCATTCCATCAATATGATTGGCGGTAGAAGGCGGTTCATAAGCTACGGAGACGTGGTTTATGCCAACGGTGAAGTCTCTTCCACAACGTTAATGCGTTCTTTGCACGATGTGCATAAAAATACACAATATAATGAAACCCCTGTATATTCTCTTTTCTTTGGATTAACTTGTCTTATCACTGGAACTGTTGAACGTATTTCGATTACATTTGACGTTGATGGTCTACACAAAAACTTGTTAAGTTCAGTTAGTTTTATACTCACCATTGAACTCCGTTGCCTCTTCTATGGGGAGTAGCGGACCCGAAATTTTTTAAGCGGAGTTGACCTTTGAGGTCTAGTACCTCGAGCTGTTTAATTAGCATAATTAGCATTCGTTTCTTTCGTGCTAGTGTTACACCACAGTGATCGTAGTAATTTCTAATGACATCGCATGACCATGCATTTTGCCAGACCCCCATCGGAGTTACACGTGCGTCTGTCTACTGCCCGCGTGACTTCATTGGCAGCCTCATAAATTTCGGATGTAGGTTTCTTCTCGTGTAAGAGTCTGTGCAATTTAGCATTTAATATCATTAATTAGTTCCTAGAATGAGGTTAGTGTATTTGGGGGCTGGCTGTTCTCGATTGGCAAATACGTTGGTGCACCTTACATGGAATTCTTCATATCCTGTCATATTTTAGTTTTAAGATGCGGCAATAATTTTCCCGAACTTCTGATTTAAAGTGGTTACTTTGCCTTGTTAATCTCCTACGCGAAAACATAGGTAATAGAGCTACGTTGACCTGACATACTACATACGTATGAGAGGGCCTGAAGATGCAAGATGCCTGCTTGTCTTTTGGGATGCTGCGCCACGTAGTCTCCTGGAAACTAACTGGCGTTTCAGAGGTGCTTCCATCATCGGCCCTGATGAGCGACCTTGAGAATTGATGTATGCGCGTATCTCATTTGAGGCGATATGAGGGAATATGCTATTAAGGCAACACTAGATTTACGTAGAACTGGAGAAAGAACAGAGTTACGTTTAGTCGAACACATGCGCCGCGGTAAACTTCTTGTTCTGTCGCTCTAGGACGCAGGACCGTAAATACGTAGCGTGTTTCTTAATAAGATTTCTGCAGCGTGCCTTATTAATGTTTTATGCAATGAATTATATAGGAAAACAAATATATTTTTCATTTACAGTTATAATTTCTACAGTAATGCATGCAGTTTTTCTGTGTACATGTTATAACTAGTCTATTTAATACAACATTGTAAATCGGAATCATTATCCATTCCACTACGGACATGAGGTAGCAACGGGTTAAGAAATAAAGTGAATTCAGGGATAATGCCATACAGTTTGATTCTTGTTGAGCTTAACAAGAACGTGGAATATTATTTAGTTGTTGCATTTAATGATGGCAAAGCAGTATTATTCTTAGTGGGCTGGGGAATAGTAACCTACTAGAAACGAATCAGTATGGCGTGCCAGTATTCCTTATAACAGCGTGCAATATTTCCCAACCCACTACTGTTTAGAGATGGCTGTCATCTGGGATGTTGCATCCTGTAGTGTAGTAGAAATTGACTGACATTTCAGAAGAGCTCAATGCAGCCATCAGGGCCAGTTTCTACCAGACTACACGGGGAAGCATTCTCGTCGCCATGAGAACCTCAAATCTCACTCACGACTATTTGAATTTTAACATGTTATTGAAATGTTGAACGACGTATGTTCAGTACGGAAATACTGAATAATACAGTACACGGACTGGTAATAGAATTTTGGGAGTTAAATGTTTGCGGATCTTCGAGAAGATATTTGACGTCTCTTGTAAAGCTGTTTTGTAAGTTATTTCTAACAAAGAACAAAAGAAAAACTCATTCGTAGTTTTGTATTGATGTTACAACAGCTTACAAATGCTGTTGCAGATAGGGTTGCGTTTTGAATGAAACACTGTAAAAAGAATCCGTGCATAAGTGCCAAAGTCGATCAAATCGATGCTCTGTGTGTAGTATATCTGCTATTTTATATTGATAGACGAGACTACACCTTGGTGGTAGAGTCTACGCCAGAATTGAGGGAAAGGATGCTGAAAACAATTCTGCAGAATTGTTTTGGCGCCTTTTTGCATATGTCCGTATGTGTTCTTTGGAGCCTGGCACTGAGAGGGTTAAAACTTGAAGTTTCAGTATAATTCGATGCCTACTTGGGCGGCATTTTGATTTATTTACCTGTAAAATTACTCACGTCAACACGATCACGATATTGCAAATGTCAAGAAATGGTCTCCTCTCGAGACGGTTTTGTAGACGAAGCTAATTTGATTCACTTGTGCCCAACCAGTGTTTCTTAATTAAGTCTGAACCCTTCTCTGCGATCATGATCGTTGGGGCGTTCGTGTTTCCACGTGTTATCTTTGGCATTATGGAGGCGTCTATGACTCGCAAGTTCTTGATCCCGTGCACACGAAGATGAGGGTCTACCACAGCATCAGGATCGTCGTGCGGACCCATCTTGCACGTTCCCACAGGATGGTAGATGGTGGCTGTGTAGAATATAATCAGACATCTCCAGTAATCGTCACTAGCGAACTCGTACTTGGCACACTCCGGCACGGGGTAGTCCACAAGTAGTGCTCCCACGTGTCTGAATGGTTCAGTGAATAGCATTTCAAGGCCTTGTCTGATACCTGGTGGATAAAACACAGATTTGGCATGAGAAGGGGGGTTGTTTGATAACATTAGGCATGTTGTACAGCGTCAAATGATGGCAGTTTATGGTTTATAGGTAGGAATTTGGAAGTAGGCGGTCGTGGCCTGTTTCAGGAAACTCTCCCGGCACGGGGTTCAAAATATTGACGAAAACCACGAAAACTGAGTCAAGGTGAGTTCCGTAAGCGTTGTTTGTAATCAGGTTTAACATGAATGCAGGACACTGTGCAGAAACATGTATTTTCATTGCTTGAAAGACATCATTTTTATATTACGTGCCATTGTTATAAAGGATAAGGCTCTCTGTTCTTTTCTTTCGCTGTGTGGCAACGAACTTCTTTATTAGCTTGTACTTTCAGGTATAGAAAAAATAGAATACTCGCTTTTCAGATTTTACGTCGTCATATATTACTGTGTGTTAATTTGAATACTTTTGTTTGCAGTTGTTCATAAATGATTGATAATTGTCACTTAGATGCTAGAGTTAAGTTTGCCCACCAGTAGGCTATATGTAGGCTACTTACCGGCGACCATGGTTTCCAGGTCGCGACCGTCGCTGAAGTAATTAGGGTTGATGAGTGGGGCTCCCCAGATTGGATCGGTGGTGTTCAGCGAGACCCTTCCTCTGCTACGGGGCTGCAGGAGAATGGGTCGCACGTTGATTGCGTCGTAATACGCCAGCGGCTGAACGTTCGGTTCCAGCGTAGGGTTATTGATGAAGTCCTGGACGCTGGCCGCGTCAAAGGAATACTGAACATCGGGCAGGTCTTTGTATTCCGAGTACTCGGTTGCAGTGAAAACACCAACTTGCAGGGGGCCTGTGGAGGATAAAGGACCCATCCTCGTGTGCTTGAATTTGTAGACGTCGTCCATCCTCTGTTGATCGCTTGCTGTTGTTGCCGTCTTGTTTAAAGATATGAGAACTCCTGTTACAGTAACGTGGTCTTGTAGGTTCTCTCCTACTCTCAGATCTTTTATGACGTGAATGCCAAAATATTGAAGCTGTTCTCTTGGTCCGACTCCGGAAAGTAAGAGGAGTTTTGGCGAGTTTATGGTACCGGCAGATAGAATCACTTCTTTCCTGGCTCGGACTGTATTAATCTTGGTCCCGCCGTCTCGAATGTACTCGACGCCAAATGCGTGTTTGGTTCTCGGGTCGATTAGGACTCGTGTCACGTGTGCCTGGGTGCGGATTGTCAGGTTGGCGCGTTTACGGCGGATCGGTCGAATGAAGGCGGCATTCGTACTGAGACGTTCTCCGTGCCGGGATGTGTGCTGATACAGCATCACCCCCAGCTGCTGTTCCGCGTTCACGTCTATCTCAGGGTACCCTAGAGCTTTCCACGCGTCGATTATTATCTGAAAATAGGCCGCATAGGCCTGTGTAAGCTATTTCGCTCGGAGAGGAATTATAGGGGGGAAGAGGAAGTGAAAGGAAGGATAAGAGGGAATGGAAGGAGGAAGAATGGTTGGAAGGAAAGGAAGAAACGTTTATTTTTTCCTCCTTCGTGTTATTCTTCATATGCCTGCTTATGTCTTCCTTCAATCCACCGAACTTACATATTTATGTACTTTTTTATTCGTGAATGGTTTTAATTGTTCATTCTGAGGAAACATGTGAAGTATTTAACCGCTTGCTGTTTTCTAGAACGACCTATCGAAACCTTTGTTTTGGCGCACATTCAAATCGCGGAGAGTTAGAATAGCAGGGTACTTTTTACCATAATACAGTTGCAGTAACGTCCTGTAGAATCCGGATGGTCTAATAATATATAGCGTAAAGAAATGAACGGTGTGTGCCGATAACTTTGATATATTAGGCGACAACGTATTCACTACCATTTCTAGTTAATCTGATTTTTTCTTTCATTTTGAACACAGTAAGCTATTTAGTGAAGCACGTAGAACGTAGACAGGCAGCAGATGAGGCTGAAATGCAATGATTGATTTTTTCAGACCGCTAGAATGTCGTGACAAGTTTATTCAGAAGCGATCCTGGTTTATTGACCACGCGCGTTTTCATAAAAGCCAGCAGCTTCCTGATTGAAGACGCCAGTCTTGATATAAAACCTTTTAGCGAATGCGTCCGAACGACGGATGCCAAGAGCATTCAGTACTTTCACGCCATCTCGTATAAGTATGACAAAGTATTGCATGAGGTTCCGCGAATCTAGTGGGCAGAATTATAGATACGATGTCAGCATCTTTAAATCTTAAGAGTTGGGATCAAAGAGGGAGCACTGGTGTATAAATGTGTGTCGTTACTTGCGCAACGGCGCAAAACACGAGTTCTCGTAGCCAGCAGCTTCTGTTACCCGTTGCTCTAGAGCGCTACTCTGTTACTGTATACTAAGTACAAAGACCTAGGGCAATAATATAAATTCATTATATATTTTGAGGAGCTCATAATTCAGAGCTAGCCAATGAGTTCAAATTGATACTTCCTCTTCAGAACAACTAAAATTCACAATTGTACCATAAGTAATGCACACTCATTCCGCAATGTTATTTTCGAAACGAACTGTAATGAATGAAGTGTAACAAGGACTTACTTCACATATTCTGATGCTGATTATTAATATAATTTCTTTGATTTGAGGTTATTCCGACATTGTATGATGTCCAGTTATCATATTATTAATATTTTCATTGTCATGCTTTACGTTCAATTTTCACAGGGCAGACCAAATCTAAAAATTTATCCTCTTCGTCATCAATCGCGGATTAAGCCGTTTGGTTTGTTATGGTCTTAACTGTACTCCGTCAAGTTGTCGGTATGAAAGCGATGAGAATTTTATTGTCATATTAATTTGACATCATGATATAATTAGCATTACACGTATGTGTGTGAATACGCACCCTGATGTTGTAATCTTGGTAGGGAAACCGTTCCACTGTCTGATATCCGCCCTTGTGATGATGTTCAGGGCTGTGCTTCACAATGTCTGGATCTTCGTTGTCCTCCGACTTGAGGAAATAGTGCAGGACTTCTTCGTAGTCCCATCCGTGGTTCCCCATCGCAGCCCATCCATCATAGTCGTGTTTGTTGCCCCTTACGTATATCATGTAGTTGATGGTACTGGACCCTCCCATAACCTGCACACAGTGACAATTTAAGAGGGAACCTAGGTACTGCAAATTTCTTACAAAGTGGATACTGACTATTACCAGTAACGAGTACGCGGAACTCTTGTTTATAATTATAATTATAATATGATTGTTAAAGAGTTATTTCTCGATTGAATGCATGTGATGTGCACGATCCCACCTTGCCTCTGGCCCATCTGCATCCTCCGCCAGGATAGGCGCGACAACTGTGTTTCTCTGGTTGCGTCCGGTACTTCCAGTCTATATTGCTTTCCTGCAGGAGGGGAGCGAAAGCTGGTACGTCAGCCACGTAAGGCTCCTCTATCCCAGCCTCGAGTAACAGGATCTGAAATTACACGTCTCAATCATACGATTACAGAATTCAAAATTGTTATCTTTACTGTGTTGCCGTGCGCTGGCGTGTCGATGTTTCGGATAACTCTGTCTGCATCTGCAAGGCAAATTTTCCGATCAGCTACAAACCGTTTTGGAAAGCCGAAAAATTATAAACAATCTGTAGCTTTAATTGAGTTTTGATCGCAATCAGTACGATTAAGGAGATGATCTTTATCCTCTATCTTTATCTTTACACAGCAACTAAGAAGACGTTTAAAACCATTACTCCAAAACGCGCCACAACCCAATCTGAGTCAGTCAGACGTGCACGCATTCTCCGCTTGTAAATACTGACCTTCCATGTCTTGATCTCTGAGAGCCTGTTAGCTAGGACGCACCCAGCTGAACCTGCTCCCACGATGATGAAGTCGAATTCCTCAATTGTTTCTTGTTGCTGGGAGTCCTGCTTGGCATGGAATGCGGTCAAGAAACCTGTGTTGTCGAAATTATCCGAGGAACCAATGAACGAATCATGTAATGAAGATGATGGACTCCCAGAATGTCCAAATAGTGCATCATACGAATGTAAATGGCCTCCATTGTACCCGAAAAACGAATCGTACGCTGATGAAAATGACTGATCTGGTGAGTAACCGAAGAGCTGAGAGATGAGTTGTAGGAACAGCACTGCAGAAGGCGAACAGCTCGTGGAATGGATGTGAGGTGTGCAGAGTGTCGCTAAATCTGGCGGCACCCAAGACATTCTGACCTGTTGGGAGAAATGCACAAGAGGAGATTGCCGACTTTCGTACGTGCTGCACGCTATACGCAGCTTTAACAGCTAAGTGCGACTGCGTCTTCCCTTCCTGCGGCCAGTCATATCAGTGACTCTTTTATGATTCTTGATTTAACGACATTTTTGTCAGTTATAACTACTGTGTATCGTATGATCCCAAACGTTGCCGCTAACGTTCAAAATATTAAGAGTAATAAGAAATGCGTCGTTGTAAGGACAGTCAGTCACGTGGAGACGGAAGTAGAAGCAATTAGCCTTGCGTATGAATGAATTGAAGGGACTTGACGAAGAAATTGCATACATAACCTGCCTAATGGTTGAAAACTAGACTTTGACGAATATTAACAGGAACCACAATGCTGTATGTTAAAGATCCATTAATACACACCTAATTGGGATAGTAAATCAGAGAATTATAACAGAATGCAAGCTTAGGGTGCACAGGGGGGCGGGCTCTTGTGAACAAGGCGGTGGACATTCGGGCTTCATAAAGGACCGTAAATTTTTAGGATTTGAGGTGCTCACGGCGGTGAGTCCGAAGATGGCCGTATTCTGGGTCGTTGCGCCGTGTAGACTGAGAGAAGTTTCATCGCCCTGAGGCAGCAAGAACCTCTGAATCTTTGGTAAAATTCTACCAGACTACGCGGCGCAACAAGCTACAGTAAATTTGACTAGCTGAGCGATTGTAAACTTCTAATCAAGGACACTACTTCATGGAATTAGGTAACAGCTAGTGGACACAAGTAAACATTAATATGAAAACTGAGTTGTCGAGTCGCCGATTAGCCCTGTTTCAGTTGTACGTGAGATAATGTTTGCCTGTTCACGGTGCTGCAGATTTGTGTCTGCAGATACTGAATCACCACCGCAAGTATAAGAAACAGAATCAGCGTGTCATTTTGCTGACAAACCTTATTTCTAAACCCAAACACAATGCAAAAAAAAACAAGCGTACTCTTATTGGGCTATAACAGCTATAACTGCTAGCTTTATGTAAGATGGTACAATTCTGTAATTTCCCTGTGTTTTTTTTTTTTTTTTGGAAATTCATTGACATTTAAATATTCTATCTAATAAACAACTTAAAACATGTGATGTAGCATGAATACATTTTTGGACAGACCTGAACCTGATCTTCGACATAGAAAAATATCCATTTGTTTTATCTATATAGGATATGGCAAGACAAATTATTCTGATCTTAATGGCTGGAAGCGTTCACATAATTAAAATTGATTTTGCTTTGAATATAATTTTGAGTTGTTCCTGTCTTTCTTATGTGTTTTTACTTTGCCACATTGTCGAATTCCTGTCCAGTGAGTCCTTTCCCCGGGGTAAAGCGCGGTCGGGGCGTGATGCTGACCAATCACCCACGTCTAGTGCGAGGTTAAGAATGAGTAGGAGCTATACGTCCTCTCTCCTCTGTGCCAATATGACGCGTAACGGGATGGCTGTATTTTTATACATTCTGGAATGCTGTATTATTTTCTTATATTTTACGTTTTTGTCTTGCTGTTTCTCACATCATATTTAAGTTGCCTAAAAACTAATGACGTTGTTCGATTCATGTTTGATGTTTGTGTAATATTTTCATTTGCAGTGCAAGGTCGAAATGTCGATATACGCCCATTTGCGGAATGTCGGTGCGTATCAGTTTTTTTCGGCACAACACGTTCTCTTTGGTGAAATAATTTTGTTTCGAGATTAATCATTTGCACCTGAGAGGCTTTTCAGATGTAAATTTTCTGTGCCAGGCATGGGCCCCATATAGGCTACTTGGGAAATTTACAGGCACGGAAGTACACAGATTTCCTATTTACTTTTCTGTCAATAAAATGATCGAAGTTTGTACGTGTATACTTCTTTTTCTTAAACTGCCCTCTTTGCAGAGCGTCAGCCACGACAATTACCGAGGCGTTTTTATTCAGAAGTGAGAGGCTTTGGAAAGATTTGTTGTTCAGCTGACAATCACGCAGTGGCACAAAAATGTGTTGTTCTTTTTCTTCAACTAACCGCAGTTGCATAATAGGTATACGTATATGAACTGTATTTAGTAAAATTTAGTAATGCCTTTGTATTATTATTATTTCATCTGTTCACCACTTTATGGGGTATGTACTTCCATGTACCCGAGACAGACCTTGTCCCTAAGGTACATATTGTTATTATTATTATTATTGATGTAATAGTGTAATGATTAGTAAATATTATACATATCTAGAGATCACACGTATGGAAAATAACTGCATTTATGTACTTTACTATCCTTAAATATGTGAAATTGTTTCAGTATGTCGCTGCAGTATATATTTATAGTCTGCATAGTCAATAATTATGTTTTCCATAAAGGGGATTTAGAGGTTGGTATAGGCAGTAAGATGCCTATTCCATGACGTTGAAATGAATAAGCTACGATTAAAACGTTAAACCGAACGAAACCCGAAATGCGACTTCAAACCGAAATTTCTTGCAGCTGAAGAAACCTTGGTACATAGTTAGATATATCGGTTCTGTATATACGCAACATTTATCCAGGTAGATCTATATGTGGGTGGGAGGATAATATTAAAAATTAATCTTAAAACAGTGGGGTGTAAGGATGTGGACTGGATTTTTTGATCGATGGCCTAAGGCAGATAAATCTAGTCCACTCCGCCGCACAACATATTTGCTTAAGATCTGCTTTAATAGTATCTTCCCTCCCAAAATAATTATGGCTATGCTTAGATTTTTTCTTGCTACTCTTAGTGGTTTGTTTCATTATTTAATTAGCGCTGGTAATCTGAAATGTTTCATCATGTTGTTGTGGAGACCTGAATGACACACGCTTTCAACATATGAATGCTTTAAAATTTGGGCAGCTTTTCTTGCCCACTTTCTTCCAGAATAACGTGCAGCGGTAATTGGTTACAGCTCTCGTCTGTCACTGTTCTGTACAATTAGTTTTTATTGTTAATTTCTCTTTTTGGTTCATTGGGTCTGTATGCCGGAATCATTTGGAGATAATGCAAATTTACATGCAGTTTGAGTCGTGTAATTTGATGCTCGAAGCAGAAGGTGTGGATTTTCTATACAGTATAGTTTCATTGATTTCTAAAGAAATTTCTACAGGCTTTCATAATGCCACTCCAGACGGAAAGAGATTTGTAACAAAGTATTTTCCTTTGTCGTAAAAGACAGGTTCATCTTTTATTTTCGGATTCGGCTCCCTTAATTTGTTTTCTGAACCAAATGTGACAGAGCCACTGAAATCTGAGAATCGGTATTCGGAACGTTGCCTTGTTCCATTAACACCTTACATTTATTAACAAAACTATTATTTACTTTGATAATGACTTAAGCGTTTATTGTGAAGTTAGCATGCTGTGCTAGTCATTTATATGATTGAACGAAACCAATTTGCCACGAAATCACGTTCCACACCTGAAAATAAATTAACTACATGGATGGAGGAGACTTGTTCTTGAGAAGTTAATAGTACACTCGACTAGTCAGGGAATTCCCCGCTCTTTATAGAACCCGAAGGTTAATTACCGTTTCACAAGATTCCACTTCCGGTTCTCATTCTGAGCCACATTAATCCAATCCACGTTCCCGGATACTGTCTTCCTAAAATTAATTTTAATAGTATACTCTCACCGAACTCTAGGTCTTTGTGTGTTCTCTTCTCTTCAGGCTTTCCAACCACAATCTTGCATGCATATCTTATGTCTTCCATGCGCGTTATATGCCCCTCCCCAGTTTGTGTTTCATGTATAATAAACAAATATTTTAACAGTTAGAATTTCATATGTGAGACAAAGTAATGCAAATTGAACCATAGTAGGGATTTCTACCCTGCAATTCGCTCTTAAATGTGATTTTGAATAGTCACGCTCTTTCCGAAAAGCTCTTATTAACCACAAGGCATCCATTTCGAATATCGTGTTTTATTTTTGGTGGATTTGTCTCGAGTTGGTCTGAGACTGCATGAAAAATCCGTACAAGAATTACATTCCCCGCTATTTACGACTGTTGCAGTCGGAAGTGATCACGGCTATGAAGCGAGAAAGACTGTTACGCACAAATGCACCCAGACAACGCTGGCAATGTGAACTGTTCCATTCTATTACACAAAGAGAAACGTCACAGCCTTTAATTGCAAAGTAGAACGGTAATGTCGTCAGAAATTGGTGGAAACTAATTACTTTATAAATCAGTTCATACTCGACCCTTGAGGATCACTAGCATCTCGTGAAAAATCACTCATTCACTTGATTGTCACATTCACCATCTGTCAGTATGTTGATTAGATATCGTACGGAGAATCATAATTCATCCGTTATTGAGCTCTTCTGACATTAAGTACACTGAAATCTACGCGATTTCATTCTACAAACACCAACACTTTCACCAATTTATGTAATTTGAAAATATTTATATATACTAAAAGTGTATGAAATTTCATGTTTAGTAGGAATGTGTTAACACTAACATTAACACTGTTTATACCTGTATGTTTAGTCGTCGTACATGCAGAAATCGGAACTTTTATGTTTATGATTGCGTTTTAGGGATAATCTGCAACTTCATTTCTCGCTTCTGATGAAACACAGAGGTTACTTATTCTTGTTTCTACAATAATGCGAAAGAATATTATCGAGTTATTAATTATTTTAAATTAAAAAAAGTACTTAAAAGTTTTAAATGTGCCTATTCTATATGCATACCTCGTAGATACCGTGGTGGTAGCCGTGTGAGGGTGCGATGCAGCAGGTGTTGAAACAGAACGAACACGTCTGTGTGGAGAATAGGAAGTCAGGCAGCGGTTTTATTTGCAGATAGTGCTGATTTCCTGTTTGCTCCCACTGCCTGTACTTCGGTCGCACACTCTTTTATTGACTTGAAACCGCCTAAATGTTCCACCTTTCTTCTGAGCTTTCTTCAGATTCAGGAGGAGAGAGAACCAGCAGGCAGGAGCACCTCGCAGCTACTGTTCTCTGTATCGGCTTGGTGGGGGAGAATTGCCTGAAACATTGCACTTCATTCACGACGCCTTCGTAGTGGATGTTGCAGCGGGCCCGACGAATGAGAAATTGTTTGTGTCAAAGGAGTTGCGATATTCTGCACGCCACAAGACTAGTGAGCTGTGACTAGGCGTACTGGCTGGAAGAATTTGGTTCGATTCCTGGCAGGTGCATAAATTGCCCCTTTCGACACCGCATCTGGGGTCCACGGAGGCTCCTGTCTAACGCGCCCACGGAGCGTTTCTGTGGGGACCGAGGGCCCGTAGCGCGAAGCTGATGTCTCATCTCCATTTAGTGATGCGTTTATGGAGCTGCATCTCATCCTCACACCCTATCATTTTTATGGCCAGGTGCTTTGTACCTGTCACATCTAACCTCTCCCTGTGTGAGAGATACGAAGTTTTCACGGCGGTCATGGCGATGATGATGAGATGTTTTCTGGCTTTTGGCTGAAGCCCCGAAGATGGAGATAGAATGATAC